AAATTCCGATAGGGACCATTACGGTTGGGGAGATCGTGGAAATTCATTCTATGAAAATCCACAATATTCTCGATCGTATGAGCCTACTTATGAGCACAACGAATCTCAATTCCACTATGGAGGCTCACAATATTTTACGACGAATCTCAATTCCACTATGGAGGCTCACAATATTTTTCAGAACCTTCGCTTGAACAAGAGACTAGTCCATCGTTGATGAAGTTATTTGAAGAGTGTCAAAATTCTTTGATGGCTAGTAGCAAAAAGATTGGTGACATATTGAGCGAATTGGATGCCCGAGCCAAGAGTCGGCTAGCCGAAGCCAGCCACGATGATGTCGGAGAGCTTAGGATGAGCAGCGACACGGAGCTTGAGGTGCTGGACAAAATTATTTTTGAGCCGACAAACGATCGAAGCGACGAAGAGAATGAAGAAGAAGGCGAGACGGAGCAAATTTTCGCTGCTATCGTCCCCCCCAATAAAAACCTGGTAGCATTTACTACTACTATCGGAGCCCCCGAGCATGACAGAAAATCAATCTCTTCTATCCGAGGTCAAAAAACAAGCAACCGAGCATGCTGAAAATCAAGAGCCTTACATTCTTGAGGTGGTTGAGACTTTCCCTCTTACCTATGATCTCAGGCTAGTCTTTTACCATGACGATCTACCACCGAGAAGAAAAGATCCGGTCAAGCACCCGACACCGGACGAGGGGATCTTTAAGAAGCATGGTGCTACAAGGTTCGTGCCTCCTTTGAGGCCACCTATGAAGCCGCCATGGACCGCTTGAAGAAAGCGGAGTAATAATTCGAGCCAATGACACTAAAAAAAGGCGCTTGTCGAGAGGCAACCCAATGGTGTGCGACGTGACTTCTTCTCTGGATAAGGTGAACTCTTTCCTTTTACCTTCTATTTTGTTCTCTTATGTGCAAACTCTAAGTTTGGGGAGGTTTGTAGTGTTAGATGTCTATATGCTTGAGGTGTTGAGTTGATGTCATAGCATGTTATTATTGATTTGTTTGAGTACATATTACTTGTATGTGGAATTTCGCAATGATGATGTGAGAGGCTTTGTTGGAAGTAAATGCTAGTTTATGATGACTTGGGTTAATGATTTCTGGTTAAATTCTTGAAGTGTTGTTACTTAAGGGACAAAAACATGACGATTGACATTTATGTGCTTTATTTGTAGTGAGTTGGTCTTGAACTATTTATATTCTTGAAATGTGCTGGTGACTATTCTGCTTGATGTCGATTGTGTGAGGTAACTTGACGTGGAAAGTTGGGAGTTGATTGTCTCAAATAAAAAAAAAAGAATGGTGGTGTGAATAATGAATGTGGAGGAAAATGGGCTGCAACAGCTGCCAGTCTGTGAAGTTTTAGTGCATAACTTTTGCACGAATAGCTAAATACCATGGACTGTGACGGAGCTGCCGTTCCAAAAAAAAAAATGAATAAAAAAATATCGAGACTTTTGATTTACGGCTAAAAACGAAGAGGAACCAAACTGGTTGGCAAAGAAAGGAGTATCATTAGTTGCATGATTGGTATACTCGGTGAAGAGATTGATGAGCTGCGGTAATTCACTGAATTGATATTTAATTGTTGGCATTCTAAAGATGATTTCATTTCGAGTCCGGGGATTATTAATTTGAGAAGTTGTAGCTATGCACTTATGTGTGATTTGTGAGACCCTGAGCAAATATTCCACCTACTTGTTTATATCCATCTATGTGCTTTTAGTTCTAAGTTGCTTGGGGACAACCAACAGTTTAAGTTTGGGGAGATTTGATAGATCGAAAAATGTGCATGTTTTATATGTTTAATAGTGTATTTTTATATACTTAAGTTATTCGCACGTCTATATTTTTCGACCTATTTATTATTTAGATGGATTTATTTGCTTTGATGTTTTATGTGTTATTTTCAGTATTTTGGAGTACTTTGTGAACGCGAGCATTGGACGGGAGTCACACGAGCAATTGTCGAGGCCCAATAATTAATTCACTATACATGCCGAAACCCAATAATTTCATTTGTACCAAGGAATTGCTAAAAGTGGCCCAAATTATGCACAAGCCCAACATTGATTTCAATCCCATAGAAAACACACGCCACTTGGGAAATAAAATTAGCAAAGAGAATATTTGAGGGGCTGGAGTGGACATTTAATTGGAGTGATTTTTGATTGGCTGGACTCTAACAGATGAGGGAATTATTTGGTGTGAGAAGAGGCATGAATCTGGGGGAATTATATATTTTTACGAAGAGAGCAGAGAAAGAAAGAAAAGACGCACGCTTTCGGCAAAGGAAACGCGACAGAGAAAAGAAACGCAGCAGCCACACAGATAGAGCATATTACACGCGGAGGGAAGCCGCACTCGCACACTGAGGGAGATAATTAATCTCTCTCTTTTATCTATCCATTATCTCTTTTTATTAGTATGTTAGAGTAGTATTTTTATCCAGTTTTAGGGGATGTTTGAACCCTAAGTTTGATTTGTCTATGAATTGGATGATCTTTATTTATTGTTGATTAATCTAGACGACGTATTTATTTTGTTGATGAGTTGATTCATGCTATCTATCATCTATGTTTAATGTTTATAAATTATGGTGTTTGATTTAGTCTAGCTAACTACGTTGAATGTTCATAGTTTAATTGCTAGATTCGGGACTTTAATCGATAATTGTTATTGTCTCGTTTCGTTAGTAGTAAACTAGAGTTCGTGCATCTCTAGAGTAGCGTGAACATAAGTTAAATGGTCCGAGCTTGTGCGTCCATTGCTTAGACTGACCTATTTTCCTAGAAATAAATGCTTCTAGTGTAATAAATCTAGAGAGCTTATTCTAGGTTGTCCACTAGTTAGGTTTAGTCGAAGAGCCTATTTCGATTAAATATTCGGTAAGGGAAAATTCGGTTAACAGAGCTTGTTGTTAGCTAGGGTTGGTAATTCATTAGCAATCTAGAGAAAGCATCGAAATTAATTAACGGCAGATTTAGATTGGGTGATAACTGAACCGAAAAACTAGACTTCTCTCATTTTATTTGATTTTTATTTTATTTTGTCATTTTTATAAAACCAATCCACCTACCTTTTATTGCTTTCTTAGTTTTAATTCAATTGATACGATATTTTCACGATTTAGTTCCTACTCCTCGTGGGATCGACCCTTACTCGCCACTACTACTAGTTAGTAGAGGTTAGTTGAGGAAAATTATAAATTTAAATTTGCCGCGTCGCAACGCGCGAACAATGGAGAATTGGTTGAGAGAGGCTGAAACTGCTAAATTTGAATCACCATTGAAGCTTTTAAGACTGAATTTATAGAAGCCTTCAGTAACTTTCCCTTTTAGTAGGATCCTGCCTGTTACTTGATCCTTCACAAGGCAATAAGTGGGATGAAATTCAAAGTTATCAAGGGCAAATTGAGATACACTAATGAGATTTTTAGTGATATTTGGCACATGAAGAAGATTTTTTAAGGTAAAAGAAGGGCTGTTATGATTCTTTGAGCTTAGTTTAGAATTACCAATATGATGAATAGGAAATATCTTACCATTTCCAACCTGCACCTTCTCTGTACCCTGATATTCTGAAGCTAGGTTGAGATTTTGAAGATCATATGTGACATGATTGCTAGCACTCGAGTCTGGATATCAAAAGTCCATTTGATTCTTATCTTCACCTGCATGGAATGAGGGTGCATTACTCATCAAGAGGTTGGTAGAATGAACTGTAGGGTTGAAAATTTGCCCCCTTTGCTGTTGTCCTACATTGTTAGTGCCTTTGTTAGGATTTGGCACAAAATTTTGGTCAAATTGATGCCAACACTTATCTGTTGTATGGCCTGTGTAAAAACAAACTTGGCATCTAGGTTTTCCACCTCTACCTCTTGAAGAGTTTGAGTATCTACCTCCTCTACCTCGATTTCCTCTTCCTCCATAAGAGGTTTGTCCTGCAAAGTTGATGCTAGGAGATGATCCATCAAGGCTGAACTGATTGCTTTCTAGGTTGACTGCCTCAAGCCTAGTTTCAAAACTCAATAGTAATGAATGAACATCCCTTAAAACAGGTACTTCAAGCTTTGACATGATTGAAACCATGACTGGATTATATTCTTGTCCTAAACCAGCTAAAATGTACATAACTTGTTCTTCATCACTAACTTCTTGTCCTGCTGCTCTTAAAGTTTCACAACAACTTTTAATTTGATTTAGATAGTCTCTCATACTCAGGCTCCCCTTTTTAAGGGTTTGCAAGTTCAATTTATGCTGCAAAATTCTAGCCTTTGATTGACTTGAGAATCCTATCTCTAAACTCTCCCAAATCTCCTTGGAAGTAGTTAATCCTACAGTTGTGACAAGCAGTGGCTCTGAAAGAGGAGACAAAGCAAAGAAGCAAGGATCTAGTCTTGCCTTATCCAAAGCAGGAAATCTGGATTTATGGTAGCATCTTCTTGGGAACCTGATTGAAAATATTCATCTGGGATCTTGTGATTCTTTGAAATATAAAGCTGTAAGCCATATCCCCTTATGGCTGCAAGAACTTGCTGCTGCCATATCAAATAATTATTCTCATTGAGTTTAGTGGTGATGAGTTGGCTTTGAGGGTAAATGAGTTGGGATTGTTCTGGAGTAAAGGGTGCAGAGTTTGATATTGTAGACATGGTGAAGATAAGAAAGGAAAGGATCGAATTTCAGAGACACTAGATTAACCTGGTGCTCTGATACCATGATGAAAAATAAGATGATTCATAGTTACAAAAATGAAAAACGAGAAGGGAAACTTCAAGACAAAGATAATCTCTTTTCTTTTCTCAATGCTTAAGTTTATCATACAAGCTGGTCTTATTTATACATCAATGCATTGAGCCCTAACCAACTCTGACCACTATAGATCATGGCCATAAATAATATAAAAAATGTAAAAATAAAAACTGCCATGAAGATGATGGTGTAACTGCATTTACATGTGGACATACTAGCTTCATGTTACGTCCTTCATGCATTTTCCTTTAGTAGTTTTGTTTTTATTGCTTCTTAACTGCTCGAGGGCATGGATGTTGTTCGAATGAGTAGATAAAAAATTCATGTAAAACAAACTCTTTGAAGATGTATGGAAATGGTCACAGAACAGCTCAAATAATGCATAAAGCTCCTCAGCCGAACTCTACAGGAAAAAAAAAAAAATTTCAAATGATGGGAAGTAGAGCAAAACAGGTGAGCTTTGCTGACATATAAGACATCCAACCATGGACAGAGATGAAATTAGACAATGGCAAATCTTGAAGACCATATAAATTGAAGGCAGCTACCAAAACCACCAAACAGTTTTAATTAACTACCCAACACACACACAAAGAAGACAATTTCACTGAAATCATGGTTAAGAACAGGAAAAAATTAGTCATTAAATTCTACAATTTTTAATTGAAACTAACAACAGTGATATTGACATACGAGTGCTAGATCCTCCTCTTCATTCCACGTCCCACGAAATATGAAGGAAAGCAATCGCTGCTTTAAACCACCCAAGAAAAGAGCTTCTGAAATAGGCTGGTGCTGATTATGAAAACCATCCTCAACAATATCCGTACTATTCCTGACTGCGATTGCCCTGCACTGTAATTAGTAAATTAAATTGCCTGTCAATACTGAAATTTGAAACCAAATCCACTAACAAGACACCATTTCATGAACTAACGGAATAATTTCATAAACCAGATATTTTTGCTTCTTAAATTAACTTCATAACTTGAGTGATGAGGAGTTCCACACTAAGTTGACTGAGATGAGAATTGAATCTCACAGACTAACTTAAGAGTGGCTGCTAAACTCATTGATGGACTTTATCATTTCTCTGTTCATAAACATGTTGTATCCAATACACAATCTGAATGTACTGATAACCATGTATCCTCTGAATATACTGATAACCATGTATCCCTTGCAAATTCTACTTCAGAACCATCAACTTTATGGCATAACAGACTTGGACACTTATCATTCAATAAGCTGAATTCACTTCCCATATGCAAAAACAACTCTTATTCTATGCAACCATGTGATGTATGTCATTTTGCAAGACAAAGAAAATTACCATTTTATGATAGTGATTCAGTGTCTCACACACCATTTGCTCTCATTCACTGTGATCTATGGGGACCATTCTCTGTCACCTCTCATTCTGGTTTTAAATATTTTCTAACTATAGTTGATGACTATAGCAGAGTCACATGGATATATCCTCTTGTTCATAAATCTGACACCAAAAAGTTCCTAAATCATTTCTATAATATGGTGTTGACTCAATTTAATAAGAAAATTCAGATTTTGAGATCTGATAATGGCACTGAGTTCTTGTTACATGACTTTTATACTTTAAATGGTATTATTCACCAAACTAGTTGTGTAGAGACTCCACAGCAGAATGGAAGAGTGGAGAGGAAGCATCAGCATCTGCTTCAGGTAGCAAGAGCAATTTTATTTCATGCCTCATTACCTCTTAAATTCTGGATTGATTGCATTTTAACTGCAGCACACATCATTAATAGAATTCCATCTTCAGTTCTTGGCAATAAATCTCCTTTTGAACTTTTATTTCAAAAACAGCCCACTTATGATCATCTTAAGGTTGTTGGTTGCTTATGTTATGCATCTACCCTGACTGCACATAGGCATAAATTTCAACCTAGGGCATCCAAATGCATTTTTCTTGGATATCCACTTGGTTGTAAAGGGTATAGACTTTACAACCTGGAAACCAAGCAAACATTAATTTCCAGACATGTCATTTTTTATGAAGAAGTGTTTCCCTTCAAACAAACAACATCCCAAATGTCAACCCTTTTTCCCCCTCCATCCAACTTTATTCATGACCTTCCAATCCTACCCACAGCCACTACTAACCAAATTACCAATCCTACTATTGGCCAGACAACAAACCCCACTACAAACACTGTTGGCCAGAGTACCAATCCAACTAATACAGCTTTCCCATCAAACCAAACAACCACCACATCATCTCCGCAACTCAGAAAGTCTACAAGACCAAGAAAAACACCTGCATATCTTGATATCTATAACCATCAGATTCCTCAAACACAGTCTTCCTCCAACCTTCTTCAAAGCATTTCTGGAACATCACTATACCCAATATCTGACCATTTATCTACTGACAATCTTTCTTATGCTCATAAATGCTTCACTGCTGCCATTTCTCAAACCACTGAGCCTAAGACTTATTCTCAAGCTGCCAAAGATCCTATGTGGCAAGAAGCAATGAATAAGGAATTAAAAGCTCTTGAACAAACTAAAACTTGGGAACTCACTGAATTACCTGAAAACAAACACTGTATAGGATGTAAGTGGGTTTTCAAGATTAAGTACAAATCAGATGGCACCATAGAAAGATATAAAGCTAGATTGGTTGCTAAAGGTTATACTCAAGAGGAAGGCATAGATTACTTTGACACTTTTTCCCCTGTTGCAAAAATTACAACTGTTAGGTTTTTGATTGCTTTGGCATCCATTAAAAATTGGCACATACACCAACTTGATGTCAATAATGCATTCTTGCATGGGGATTTAAATGAAGAAGTATATATGTCTCCTCCTCCTGGTTATTGTGCCAAAGATGATAAGAGAGTTTGCAAATTACTTAAAAGCCTTTATGGTTTAAAACAGGCTAGTAGGCAATGGTTTCAAAAACTTACATCTTGTCTACTTGACTTTGGTTTTACTCAGTCTATAGCAGATTGCTCTCTTTTCACTCTGTCTATTAACTCCAGTTTCATTGCTCTTCTTGTGTATGTAGATGATGTCATAATCTGTGGTGATAATCTGACATTGATAGATAACATTAAAAGGCATCTTGATAAATGTTTTACCATCAAAGACCTTGGTGTCTTAAAATACATATTGGGTATAGAATTTGCTCATTCTGACAAAGGCATCAATATGTGCCAAAGAAAATATGCATTGGATATACTAAATGATACAGGTTTCTTAGGGAGCAAACCAGCTTTAACTCCCATGGACTGCACAGGTAAGTTTACTGCTTACAAAGATTCTGATACCCTTGTGGATGCCTCTGAATATAGGAGATTAATTGGTAGGCTTCTTTACTTAACAGTTACTAGACCTGACATTGCTTACAGTGTACAGTGCCTTAGTCAATTTTTAAGTAAACCTACTTCTGATCATTTATCTGCTGCCCATAGAATACTAAGATACATCAAAGGAACAGCTGGCCAAGGTATTCTCTTTCCAAGAACTTCTTCACTCAACTTAATTGCTTATAGTGACAGTGATTGGGCAAGTTGTTTAGATAGTAGAAGGAGCATAACAGGTTATACTGTCTTTCTTGGTAACTCCCTTATATCTTGGAAATCTAAAAAGCAAGTTACAATCAGTAGAAGTTCAGCTGAAGCTGAATACAGAGCTTTAGCCTCAACTTCTTGTGAAATTCAGTGGTTATTGTACTTATTTACTGACTTTAAGATCCCTCACACACAGCCTGCTATTGTATTTACAGATAGTAAATCAGCAATGGCTATGGCTGCAAACCCAGTTTTCCATGAGAGGACAAAACACATAGAGCTGGATTGTCATTTCATCAGAGAAAAAGTTGCAAATAAAGTGATCCATTTGGAGTACATTCCAACAAAGGAGCAGCTGGCAGATATCTTGACAAAAGCACTACCAGGCCCTGCATTCAGTCACTTAGCATCCAAGTTGAATGTGCACAATGTACACCTTCAACTTGCGGGGGGGTGACAATATATAAAAATATATATGTAATTTTACTTCTAAGTCCTTAGTCCTAATATGTAAAGGTTTAGTTATAAGTTTTGTATTAGGAGTATATAAAGAACTTCCCAACACAGTGTAACCCTAATTTTCATTTTCTATTCAATGAGAAGCGCAACTTTCTTCTTTTCTCTCTTGTTCTTCAATATTTTCAGATCTCTTTAGATCTTGTTAGTTATCTCTATATTGAAGTTATCTTTTGATTAACAGTATGTATAGAGTATNNNAAGAAAAAACTCCTGGGAAGGATAGAGGTTGAGGTTGGACCTCCAATCCGTATATGTATATAATCAGGCCAAAAATGGGCTGGAAAACCACAAATTTACATGTTCAACCAGCAAACAATCCAACTAAAACCAGAAACAAAAGTGAAGGAAAAAGAAAACAAACACCGAAGTGAAAATTCTAAAACTGGGCTGACATGTGTCCAGGCGAACAGTCTGCATCACGAATGGGCTAAAGCATAAAAATTAAAACAACTACCCAAATCTGAACGATGGGTAACCAATTTGGTCCATCCACACAAGAGTGCGGAGGCGGAAAGGAGTTGAAATATGCGCCTCTGGGGAGTGGAGACACTGATGCAAGTGAGGAAATTAGCGGGTCGGTTCCCCTCGCGGAAAATGTGCGACATCCGGTAGTGGACCGACTGAAGTGTCGATATGATGCGAATGAGCGGATGTTGAATCTGCTGTGATACCCCACATATGTATCATTACCTGAATCGTGCTAATTATATGATTTATTCCATATTAATCTAGAAACTAAATAAATATTGCCTTGAGTAATTATTTTTCTAATAATAATAAAAATGAAATACATATCTCTATTTTCTTATTTGATTAAAATTTGTGTACAAATTCTTAGAGTATTTTACTAGCCATTAATATTATGAAATACTTGATAATTTTTACTTTCTAGGATATCTAATTGACTTTAATTAATAAATAATGTGTAGAACATTACAAATTTACAAAAACAAGTAATATCATTGGTTTGGATAGATAAAATTATACTCCTCCATTTAAAAATAACTAATATATTATATGTATATATATGTAAAGCTATTGTATAAAATGGTTGTAATATATATATATAGCTGCATATTAAAAATTAGTATAAATTTTTTAAAGGCATTGATATAAATTCAATCTTAAAAAATAAAATTTGCAAAAAAAACCATGAAACTGAGAAAATCTTGAGTTGAATTATTTTACTTACTCGACAAAACCTCTCTAGAATTGCGAGGATGACGAAAGATTTGTCGGATGACTATATAATTGCATTGGACTAAATATGTTATTAGTATATGAATAGCAAGAACAATAGCCTTTTTTATACTTAACTTAAATATGTTATTAGTATATGAATAGCAAGAACAATAGCCTTTTTTATACTTAACTTGTGTTAGTGGCTTTGTAATTGTTATCCTGTGTTTTGATTTTGTTTACATATATATGTAAAAAAAAAATATTACATTTCTTAGAATAAATAAATAATAATAAATAAAGGGGAATATCCCGCCGTCCGGCACAGTATGTATAGAGTTGTCTTACAGATCCAAATATTAGAAAATATCATAATTAAATTAGACAAGTCTACTGTAAACCATAACATTTTCTCAACACACATCAGAAATAAATAAATAAAAATAATAAAATGAAGCTAGTGAGTAGTGACTTGATTAAGTGTTATATATCAACCAAGCAAACAATAATAGTATGGGCTGTCTCAATGTAAGCCCTTATTGTACAGATACACTAAGAGATAAAATCTTGATCTAACTCATAGCAAAACAAAATCATGATCTAACTCATAGCAACTAAGAGGAAGTGAGTTAATAATAAAAGATCATCGTCGGAAATGAATATTTACAACTGCCGGATGCAAATACACGGTCTGTTGTACAGAAATCGCTAGCGGCAAAATCGGGTGGAAAAGAAATGAAGATATCTTTTTCGCTCGGGTGTCAACACCACCGGATTCAGGTCCTTCATAACATAAAGCAATGATATTTTTATATTTTTTTTTCAAACGCCAATTTTAACATCCTAAAACAACAAATATAGAATCACACAATGTACCTGGATGGATCTTGAATTTTAGAGTATTTGGATGCCTCCTCAAAATGAATTTGATGGGGTGATCAGTCGACTGCCTGTGTCGATCGGTTGCCGAAATCAACTACAAAATGTAAATCAAAAATTGAAACATAGTAGATTTTAATAACAGAAAAAATAATTTTTCTTGGCTCAATTTTAGAGCGTAAATAAATACTTTACGTTTTGGACAAGAGAAAGTGAACCTTTTCATCATATCGAAAGAGGGAGTGATCGAAATACGGTGATGGACTCTGAGACTGACAATTCATAGGCAAAACAGATAACATCTTCTTCACAAACTGCAAGTTCAGAAAAAATGAAATCTTGGAAATCATTCAGGAAAAAAAAGGGTCATAAAAAACATTATGCCAACAATATCAGTTCAAATGGTTAAAGCTCAAAAAACTACCTCCAAGTCTTGCCAAATTACACATAAAAAAACAAAAAGTTGAATAATATTTCGAAACTATGAATTTACCCTTGTGTTAGTTAAAAGGTTGCAAACCATAAAACTGGTAATGAACATTAAATGACAGAGATGAAAATTTGCAAATAATGGAGCTTTAACCAAGTGGCAAAATAACGATATATTTCCACATTCGGGTACGATTTCCATAAAATAAGAAAATACCTGCATGAAGCTGGTAGTTTTGTTTTTATTGCTTCTTAACTGCTCGAGGGCATGGATGTTGTTCGAATGAGTCGATAAAAAATTCATGTAAAACAAACTCTTTGAAGATGTATGGAAATGGTCACAGAACAGCTCAAACAATGCATAAAGCTCCTCAGCTGAACTCTACAAGAAAAGAACACAAAAGGAAATTAGAAAGAAAATGAGTAAAAAGAAGACCCCAATACGGTCCATTCGGGCTATTTCTAATTTTATCCACTGCATCTTTCGACATTTCGACTTTTAGTTAGTTCAACATGTATTAATAATGGTAAGTATTTAACTACTGAAACCGGATAAAAAAACAATGAATAATGACTACAGAAACCTGATAAAACGAAATAATTTGCGTTGTCTCCATATTGTATACAGCAAAGAATGCAGGATTATTGTCCGTACTTCGCCCCACCTGAAGCACAGGGGAAGAAACACATAAAACAAGTGATGGCACATAAATACTTAAAATGCCGATTTCAAATATCTGAGTAAAACAATTCAATGAGAAAGATACTCCAAAAAATGTAGATTTTTTTCATTAATAAACAAGATAAAAGTACTCACTCCACCATCAATACTGCCAAACTTGATCAATAGGTGATGGCGGTCTAAGAATTGCACCTGTTCAAGATAACCAGATATTCGTAAAAATATTCTATAAAATAGGAAAAAGAAAAAAATGGGGTGAAAAATGACAAATCTAAACAAAATTATATGTAAGCTAGATTGTGACCTTCCATATACCCAAATCAGCATAATCCTGGAAATGGAAATAAAACTTTTTCTTCAGGCATTGCATTCTCTGTAAGGAAGCAAGGGTTTTCAGAAAACATAAAACATAAAGAATTTATAATATATTGAACTTTGAGACGAAACTTTTTGAACTGTTCACTGAAAGCTATTAACTTCCCGAATAGCACGAGAATCATATTAAAGACGGGCACAAAGTAAATTCTAGAAAACATACTAACACATATACCAGTGAGCCGTACCTATGGAATGGGTCCGAAACTAGTGTTTCCAAACAAAAATATGGTTCGATTAAATTTGGAGGCTATATACAGAGTGCTGAAGAGCAAAACACAATGAACATGAATACTTAAAAGTTAAAACTGATCTGATCGTGATAAGAGACTGCTGTTAAGATATATATACCGAGAAAAAATCTGTATTATACCATTAATGCTATGAACAAAAACGCTATATACGTCAAAATATATTGACATTAATATATATATATATATATATATAGAGAGAGAGAGAGAGAGAGAGAGAGAACAAAAATTAAGTTAGCTAATCCTTTCAAAAATCTCAAATGCTGGGAAGTAGAGCAAAACAGGTGAGCTTTGCTGACATATAAGACACCCAACCATGGACAGAGATGAAATTAGACAATGGCAAATCTTAAAGACCAAATAAATTGAAGGCAGCTACTAAAACCACCAATCAATAACTTCTACGATTTTTAATTGAAACTAACAACAGTGATATTGACTTACGAGTGCTGGATCCTCTTCTTCATTCCACATCCCACGAAATATGAAGGAAAGCAGTCGCTGCTTTAAACCACCCAAGAAAAGAGCTTCTGAAATAGGCTGGTGCTGATTATGAAAACCATCCTCAACAATATCCGTCCTATTCCTGACTGCGATTGCCGTGCACTGTAATTAGTAATTAAATTGCCAGTCAATACTGACATTTGCAACCAAATCCACTAACAAGATACCACTTCATTAACTAACGGAACAATTTCATAAACCAGATATTTTAGCTTCTTAAATCAACTTCATAATATTGTGAATTAGAAAAACTTAAACAAAATACCACAATAACTTACGGCGAAAAATTAAAAAAAAAAAATATTAAGAGCTTGAAGCAGTACCACTTGCCTGAGCACTAGAATTCAAGAAAAGCTCGTCATCTTCACGGCAGTATTCTCCAATCGACCGCACATCAACAAGGTTACCCGATTCTCTTATTTGGAGAATGTGTATTCTTTGAAAACGTAAAGAAACTATAGCGATTAAGTCATCGTACAAGTAAGCACCCACTGAATGCGCCAAACTGATATAATCATTGCGGAAAACCCTTTGGTCGAGTACAACTCCATCCTCCAATCTATTTTAGTTCAGAATAAGACAACACAATGAGAGACAAATCCAACCTCACGTATACAAACCTCAAGAGACCAAGAAAAAAGAAAATACTAAACGGACCTCACGAGGTGAAAAGTTATTTTCTCGATTGACGGGACTCCTGGAATCGCACCCCCAACAGCTGGCGCATCCAAAATTTGCGCAGTCGAAGTTGCAAACAATCCAAACTTGAATTTGTCGGCGTAAAGGAAGAAATCCTTGCATATGAGCTCACCAGTAGAAGCAAGATTGAGAGAATACAATTTGATGAAATAACTCTCGAATTTATTGGCTTTAAGAGGGAGGTCATGATTATATTCGCATTCTTGTTCTCTGCATGAAAAGGAGAGCCAATTTGGTCGGTAAACAATGAGATCCTGATTATTCCGGCTGAAGGTTATAAGGTACTGCCCATCCTCACTGAACTTTCGGAAAAGAATGTCTGGGCACTCGACATCAAATATCGTGTGGTTTGGGACTATGTTCTCGTAAAATCGTCTAGCACAGTGGAACTGGGAGAAATCAATGATAGATTGCACTGTTAGAATACTGAATAATGATGGAAAGATTGAACAAATTCTCTGTACTAGCATATCAATGACTACTCCAAATAAAAATGTGAAAAAGGAAAACTATGAAGTATGAACCATGGCAAGAAGCATACTTCCAAGTATTAAATATATATTAAAATGGAGAACGTGCTCTAGAACAACGATATTTTTGGTCTGATTGAAGTTCAAGCGGCTGCTTTATTGATATTCCTTTTTAAACCAACCTGCATTATCGAATTCGGAATTTCTAACTCATGCCCTTCACCGGTATTGACTATTTTTTTTTTTTCTAGTAAGCTAATGAATTGCGAATATTCTTTACTTCCACATTAAATACCCACAAAGACATAGAAGTGTGGCCTTTCCTTGGTTTTCCCAAATGTAACACAGCAATATTCGGATGCACATTGCTAATCAATCAAATCCCGATTAACGACGAGGCTGCTAAAAGCTAAAGACACCCACCAAGTTCATCTCCTTCTTCGTGCCCGAGATAACATGCCAACTATAAACACTTCTTGTCAGAATATTTAAGGTGGAAACTGTGATAGATTGATCAGAATCTTTGGAAAGTGCAAAAAATCCTTACATTCGTCTCGATTCCAAATCAAGCATTTCGAGCAAAAATTCAAACACCCAAGAGAATCCCTCCATTTTCAATCAAATGAATCCATCCAAACGAACATTAGACTACCCACAATAATCGGCCGCATTCAGAATCCAAATCACAAGACATAAACAACAATAGAGCTAACAACACGCACAATCAACACATAAACTGAAAATAAATAAATAAATAAAGCTCAGAAAAGAAGGGGAACAAAAAAACAGAATCATACACTAGTTCCAGGAGCAGGGCTGCAAATCTGCCGCTCGAATAATCTGGCCGCAATATTGCTCCTTCTAAACATTAATTTCGTACCAAAATCAACACACGATTATATCTCTCTTTTTCTCTTCTTTTTTTTTTTCTCTCCTCTGTGCTCAAACTACCCTCAGTCTTCCTCTCTCTACAAGCTTCAAGCTTCAAGAGACAATGGCGACTAATGGGACTCGATCAAAATTTCGTCTTTTGTAGGTGGGAGGGTTTTTTGAGGAACTTTTTCATGGAGGGAATAATACAAACGAAGCTCCGAGAGGATAGAGAGAGGGAGAGAGAGAGGAGAGAGACACCAACGACGTTAGTTTTGTTTCGTTGAGAGAAAGAATAAAGAAAAAGGGGAAAAAGCAAAAGCCAACGTTTGTGTGTTTTGAACCACACAAATTACCACCAAAAAAAAGAGAAAATTTTAAGTCAAATGAAGAGCTATTGCAGCTGCGTGTACACTACGTAGACATATATGCTCATGCGTATCAATTCATCTCATATATATAATTTTTATTTCTATTTTTTGGTTTTTGTATAATGTGACATTTATCCTATAGTTCATATAGAAGTGTTAATTTAGTTAGGTTTGATTTATATGATGTAAATAAATTTATAATTGAGTAATTTGATGAAATGATTATGATAATTGCTAATAAAGTTAAAGTTTTGTAAACTATATATATAATTATAGGGGGCGGATCAAATGCGACAAGCTCTTAAAATGTAAACAGCTTTTAGCAACTACAGAAAACTAACCTAGCAACTACAGAGAACTAATCTAGCTACTACTAACCTAGCAACTACAGAGAACTAACCTAGCAACTACTAACTTAGCAACTACAGAGAACTAACTTAGCAACTACAGAGAACTAACCTAACAACTAGTAACCTAGCAATTATAGAGGAACTAACCTAGCAACTATAGAGGAACTAACCTAGCAACTACAGAGAACAAACCTAGCAACTACTTGTTAGAGTAGGGTACCCGGCGTTCCAATCTAATTGAACGTATTCTACTTGTAAATACAGTCTATTGGAATTATATTATGAATAAGGCATTTCTTTATCTTAAGAGAAAGCATTTATCTTATAATTGCACTTAAGATAAAATCCCTAGATCACTTATGGTTATAAGGTATGGTTGCGCATAGAGATGGTGATCATGGAACATACCTTGAAAGCCGTGATCTTAAATACAGTTCCAAGTCGACGGATGTTTCGAGAAGGGATATTGAATAATCCATAAAAGATTTGCACATAGTATGTATGCTTGTTGGACAAGAATGTAGCATTCCATCAACATTAGCGTATGACGCAAGTACATTTATGTGGGTGCTTGTTAGAGAACAAGTTCACTGAACGTGACCATATGAAAATTCTTAATGAAGAATTTATTCAGTCGAATAAGAATTTTCATGTTACAATAGTACATGACTAATCCTTAGACTTGAGGCACAATGGTAACTTTGTGCATATTACATTCTACTTTGATTTATCCTTTTGGTAGCTAGCACTATCATATAAAGGGATATTTTGGATATTATGTTAATATGTATGAAAGTTTGTTAGTGACCAACAAAGGATTCGACACGTATGAAGATACGAGAATTTCTTATGTGTTTCATAGTTAGTAATTCAAAGTCATTGGCCAAGGCAGAGATGAATAGTGATTCATAACAGGGTTAATAAACTTGAAATAGAATCATAGTTATTAAGTCAATTTGGGTTTCGACAAAATCATACCCAAGACTTAATCGGGAAATTAGATGTCGAAAGGATTTTACATGTATGGAGTTGTAATCGGAATAGGTTTACTCGCTATTCACTTAATACTAGATTCATGCTACTTGCTAGGTGTTCCCATGATATGTGGGTTCTTGAATTAAAGGGTTAATTCATGAATAAGAGTTAATGTGATTAACTCAAATTACAAAGAGTTGTAAACCCACTACTAGTATTAAGGTGAACCTAAAAGGTCACACCTATTATGAACAAAGGTGAAAAATTGTATTTCTAAAGAGTTAGAATTAATTGACATAATCTAATTTGATTAGATATCAATTAATATGAATATATTAATCAATAAGATTGATTAATTACATTTTGGATATTACTTTAGTAATTAAGGTAATTACTAAATTAATATGTTGGAACTTAAAATTGGATTTTAAATTTCCAAACCAAAATAATAATAATATGATTATTATAATATGGATGTAAATTGGAAAAATGAATATAATAATAAAAGTCTTGGAATAGATTCTTAAGATTTATTATTATATTATTATGAATATAATAAATGGTGGTTAATGGTGGTTATGAACCACCTCACATTGTTTATTATATATAAAGTCAAAAGTTAGTAATTGTATTTAAATAAAATTAGATTTTATTTAAATATTACTAAATATTGATTATTTTATGCTAAAATGTTTAGTATAAATATGTGCAAAATGGTTTTGCATTATGTGTGGATTCATTCCTAAAATTTCTAAGTGTTAGAAAGAAGAAGAGTTCTTCATAAACATCAAGAAAGAGTTCTTGAAATTTCCAAATAAAATTCATATATATTCCTATACGAGAAAACCGAGTCATTCCTACTAGCGAAGGAAGGTCGTCGGAACCGGGCTTCATAGGGTGGATACGTTTAGAGGGAAAACACTTGGATTCCTAAAGTGAGTAACCTCAATCCGTTGAAGTTATCAAACCGGGAACCGATTCCCACAATCCTTAAAAATCGCCGTCAAGCTCACCTAGGAATGCCTACACCCGCATAGGTGCTGCGCAGCTGCTTGGCCGCCGAGCCCGCCGAGGAGCGCCAAACCACAAATTGATTTTTTGTAATTAATGTTATAATATTTTGATAAAGATAAACATGCAAACAAATTTTAAGTTTTAACTAATAACCATATTATTATTATTTACTTTCAAAATTTATACTTTTTATCCTTAAATATTTATAGAAAATCATAATAGGTTAGATAATTTTTTTCTTTCTAATTAGTCTGTTGAAACCAAGTTGAATGACTGGACGGACGATTGAACGACCTGTCAAACGACCCAGAGATCTTGTGAAATTCTGATACTAGAATGACCATGAGGACCCTCGGACGACCTGGCCCATAGACGACTTGAGGACCTTTGGGCGACCTGGAATGTCCCGAATGACCTAAATAACCGAGGAACTCAAGATAACTCGACCTCGATGGACGAGCTATGAAACACATGATCTAGGAAAATCATCACGACTTAAGAAGCTTTACAAACTTAATCACATGAGATAAGAAAGAATCTTATGGAGATAAAAAGGAATCTAATGGTGACTAGGACATGATTAGGATAAAGATAAACACTAAGCAGATAAGATCAAGCCCAAGCAGCCGGGCAGGCTGACCGAATGCATTCGAACAGACTATTTCGGGTAGATATTTCCATATAAAAGGAGATGAGGTACACTCAAACTCAACTCTTTATTCTACATACATTACATACAACTCTTGATTACAGAGCATCTATCATCTTTCCTATGTACATCAACTTTAAATGTGTCGAACTATGGTACTTTATAATCCTATGTGACAATTTATGATGCCGGAGTAATCCATGTACATTTAGTCTTCTATGCACACATATTAGAGAACAATTTAAATTATATATATGTATATGTATATGTATATATATATGTATTAAATGATAATGTATTTTGTATTTATTATCAGTTTCTTTTGTAATTTATTAAATATATTATTTCTTTTCGAGTTTCGATCTAACATCCACATTAAATATGTAACTAAAATAAATAATTTTATTTGTTTTTATGATAAAATAAATCTATATATACATAAAAAGGTTTGATTATTTTTTAAATAGTAACTATTTCCCTCCAAAAAAAATTAATTACTATTTCGGGAAATTTATTTAACAATTTATGGTATATTTCAAATGATCACTTATGGAAATTGCGGCTCATTATTTAAGGAAGTAATTAAGTCATATTTTAAGATACCTTAATTACTCAAATGATCATGTGAATTAATTAATATATGGTAAATATTGGACGAATTTAATTTTGGTATTGAAGGTTATTTCTATAGGAATAAATTAATAAATATATGGTGAGCAAATTTATTTAGGTTATTTGATAACACTTTTTTTTTGTAGGAAATTTGTTGAAAAATTAATTAATATACGGTGTACTTTTTTCTATAATGCGCAAGCTAATATATTAGTTTTTAGGCGTGTGTTTCAATTTTTCGTATAAAATAACATAATAAAATTATCGTAACTCCGAAGAAATAATATGAACTGATATTTTGATATAATGTGCGTGTATCGATATTATTTTTATATAAAAAGCTCTGGTCGATTTTTTTTGTATAATTAGTGGGTCTTGATTTAATTCATTTTTTGTTACGACATTTCAAATAATTTTTGTGTGAAATGCACTGTTCATTTTTTTAGCGTGATAGAGAGTGTCGATTTTCTGGCATAAAAATTTTTATGACTGATTGTTTTTACTCAACCACGTCAATTTTTTGATTTGAATATTTTATACAAAAATTAATTCATTTTAATAATTAAACAATATAAGTTTTATATTTATCCTTATTATTCACATAAGTTTTTCAATATATGATAAAATTTTACCAAAATAATTATTTTATGGAACCACGTTATAGTCAAATCAAATTTTTGAATAAAAATTTTGAAATGACACATATTTTGAAATGATATAATGTAATTTATTATCAATTATGTGCAACGAACGGGATGTGTACTAATTTTAAATAAATGTTTTTATGTAAATTTGCACAATTTAAATTTTATATAACAATTTTTTCAATAAATTATATAGGTATATTGTATTACATATTGATTCTATGTTTCTAATTTATAAATATTATTTAATGAGATATTTTAATTTATAAATATTAATTAATATCTCATACCCGTGCATCGCACAGGATTCGTACTAGTATACATAAAAAGTTTTGATTATTTTTTAAATAGTAACTAGTTTCCTCCCAAAAAAATTTATTTACTCTTTGGAAAAATTAATTTAACAATTTATGGTATATTTCAAATAATCACTTATCGAAATTGCGGCTCATTATTTAATGAAATAATTAAGTCATATAAATATTTATTTCTAACATACCTTAATTACTCAAATTAATTTCACAGTTTATACTATATTTCAAATAATGACAATTTTTATTTATATATTATTTAATGAATGTTATTCATTTTTTTGTGTATTGAATTGCCCAAATAGTGGATAATTAAGGAAATAATTAGACAATAAAAATTTACGTCTTTAAGATACCCTAATTACGCAGATCGTGTAAGTTCGGTTGATTTATTCAATTATAATTTCTTATAAAATAA